GTACTTGAATATGGTGTGTAGCCCATATATGTGGGGTATGTTATGTGAAATATATTTCATACAACATAACATGGTGTGTATATATACCATGTTACCTTCCTAACACCTGGAAAATTTTGAACACCCAAACACCTGGGCCCAGGACATTTGGGTAAGGGGTTAAATGTTGATAATTACTCCTGGGATTAATGCCATGAAAGTCAAGGACAGGGTATGTGAGCGAGCATCAGTAGTTCCTGTGATACTCTCATGCAGTGGTTGGGTTGTCCCTGAGGAGCGATGCTGAACTGCAAAAGAGAATGGGCTTTGCAAAGGCCTTATTATGTAGGGAAATGTTTTCATTTATTGGTTGGAGCAGGTCCCAACCAAACTTTCTGCCTAACATTGCAGAGGTCATGGTCAAAAAAATGACAGCACAGGTTGTGTGTATCCAAGAGATATATTCATTACTAGTATGTGCTGAAATACAACAAAAATTTAAAACACTGCAAATTTGCATTCATTATATTTATATAGTAAAATACATGATTTTTTAATTTATTTTCAGTTACAACATAGAAAGTATTAAAGAAACAAAAAGAATAACATTTTTCTTGTCAAATAATGGAAACATGGATATTGCTAAAAATACAATAAAAAATGTAATTAATCAAAATCTTCAATAGTTGGCTTTGCAAAACGTTTGTAACAGTCATCCCAAACAATATTGCTATAGTCAAGGCACAAATACTTCTCAGAACACTCACAACAGTATTTTGATAAGCGACCCATTTTGGATACATAAAACCTAACACAGGTTATAACCAAGCTGATGGCTTAAATGTTACGCCTTACCCTTAATCATGTACAAATGCGCAGCTAGTCATGACCTTGAACCTATGCACCCAATATATGTAATAATATTTAAGAAAAGAGTTTGTGTCTCATATCAGCTGAGACCTCCACAGGGTTAATGGTCAAGCCTGTGTATTTCCATGTGGCAGGGACAACTGCTTGGTGTGTGTAGGACTGACAGGAAAGAGGCAGCCAAGTGAGAGATGGCCCCCGGCGGCAGCTTGTAGGCCAGTAAGGAGCTAGGTTAAGTCTACAAGTGGAGCCTAAAACTTACCCTATTTGGTAAACAGCCTCTACCTACACTCTTTGGGCTTCTGCTTCACAAGATTCTAGTTAAGGCCGATTGTACAAATGTGCGTTGAGCGCTTGCCCCAAATGGGGCTCTGCCAGTGGGCTCTAAGATGAGTAAGATATGACCTGTGAGTCTCAGACACAGTATGTCTAGTGTTAATGGACTTTAGTGTTTATTAGGCTGGATATCTCACAGGCCTACTGCCTACTGGAGATGTGCTTATACTGTAGGGAAATTGAGAGCACAGACTTTACCCCAGCCCTCAGGGAGTCTGAGTGTGGTGGGGAGACACAGGACCAGGCCCAGTCCCAGCCCTCAGAGGATTCCTGTCTTTGGTAGTCAGTGCTAAAAAGGGCTCTCCTCCACCCACCAAGGTAACGTGAAGCACCTGGTCCTTTTCCTCCACGAGGCTGTCTTGGTGCAATATGTGGACACATTCAAGCTCGCAGTGCCCTCCCTCATCTACACCTTGCAGAATAACCTCCAGTATGTTGCCATCTCCAACCTGCCAGCTGCCACTTTCCAGGTGAGCCCCAAGCTCAGCATGGCCCCAGAGGAACTGGCTGGGGTGGGAGGCAGGGCTGCAGAGAGCAGGAGCTGTATTACCTTTGGGAACTTCTCTGACCTGTTTCCTCATCTGTGAGAAATGGGAATGGAAATGGGCATAGCTACTCACTGGGATGCTGAGATGATTAAAAGATACAACACCAGGGAAGAGCCCCTGGGTGGCAAAAGATGAGCTTTAGGCTATTTGCAGGCAGCCTTTTGAAATGGTTCCAGAGCCTGGATTCTGGGGCCAGGCTATCTGGGTTCAAATCCCAGCCCTGCTATTTTCCAGCTGTGTGATGGGTAATATTGGGCAAGTCACTTAACCTCCCTGTTCCTTAGTTTTCTCATCTTTAAAGTAGACATTAAAATAGTGCGCACTTCATACATGAGGATTAAACAAAAGAATTCACATGATGGGCTTAGACCCCACACCCAGCACATAGTTTGCTGATATTGTGTGGCTGACTCATTTGTATCAACAGATATCGACCAAGACCTCCCTCATCATGATGTTTACTACTCATTCATTACCTACTGTGTGAGGTGTTTGACATACACCAGCCATATTTTACAGCAGATGATGTCAGGGCTCAGACACGGCAAGTGCTTTCTCCCTCATCACACAGCCAGGAAATGGGGCTGGGATGTGGGCTTGGGTGTGGTCCAGGATTTCCTTGCACAGTCAACCTACTGCGTGCCATATGGGAGGTACCTCAGAGCTATTTAGCTACTTCTCAGTCAATGGCCAATGGCTAGAGATTTTTTTTTGCCGTTTTTATTGTCATCTACCCTACCCTGCCATTGTGCCTGGGGGCCCACAGTGGGTGCTGTCCTCCATGTGCACATGTTGGGGGTCAGCGACAGCCCTCAGCACCTTCCATATCCACTTGCAGGTGACATACCAGCTGAAGATCCTGACCACGGCCCTGTTCTCTGTGCTCATGCTGAACCGCAGCCTTTCCCGGCTACAATGGGCCTCCCTGCTGCTCCTCTTCATGGGTGTCGCCATTGTCCAGGCACAGCAAGCCGGTGGTGGGGGCCCACGACCACTGGATCAGAACCCTGGGGTGGGCCTAGCAGCTGTCGTGGCCTCCTGTCTCTCCTCGGGCTTCGCAGGTGTCTACTTTGAGAAGATCCTCAAAGGCAGCTCAGGCTCCGTGTGGCTGCGCAACCTGCAACTGGGCCTCTTCGGCACAACACTGGGCCTGGTGGGGCTCTGGTGGGCTGAGGGCACTGCAGTGGCCCACCGTGGCTTCTTTTTTGGGTACACGCCTGCTGTCTGGGGTGTGGTGCTCAACCAGGCCTTTGGCGGGCTACTGGTGGCTGTTGTTGTCAAGTACGCCGACAACATCCTTAAGGGCTTTGCCACCTCCCTGTCCATCGTGCTGTCCACTGTTGCCTCCATCCGCCTCTTTGGATTCCATGTGGACCCACTGTTTGCCCTTGGCGCTGGGCTGGTCATTGGCGCCGTCTACCTCTACAGCCTTCCCCGAGGTGCAGCCAAAGCCATAGCTTCCACTTCCACCTCTGCCTCCGGGCCCTGCACTCACCAGCAGCCTCCTGGGCAGCCACCACCACCGCAGCTACCTTCCCACCGTGGAGACCTCAGCACGGAGCCCTTTCTGCCAAAGTCAGTGCTGGTGAAGTGAGGGCTGGCAGCAGTGCGGGGAGACAGGGAGGGGGAGTGGGTGGAGGGTGTTGGGCATCTGCAGGACCCAAGTTGCCACTGGGGCCTGGCTCCTGTGGAGTTGGAAGTCTTTTCTGCTAGGTCATTGAGACTTCCGCAGGGGCGTGGGGCAGGGGCGTGGGGCTGGGCGGGCATTAACTGAAACCTTCCTTGTTTGCTGACCCCTGCCTCCCCCGGAGGGGTTTTTAGAGCCACTTCCTCTGCCTCAGTCTAACCACTTTGAGGACCAGGTTGGGGGGGGTATTGTCATTTAAGGCCTTTTGTCTGCCCTGCCCCCTTCACCCCCCTCAGCCAGAGGTGTCCTGCCTCATGCCTGGGAGAGTCCCTCCCAGAAATCCCTCCACCTTTGTAGGGACAAATTGGACAAAAATCCTACAGCTCTTTAGTAATGACTGATGACTGCCTACCTGTGGGGTTCCTTTTCCCACAGCTCTGGGACTTTCTCTCACAGCCACACTGGATCATGTTAGCAGCTCATTTTGTGGCCTTCAGGCAGCTTCCCTGAGACGGAGACCCCTGAAAATGGGCCTCTTGGGAGCACCCAGGGAGAGGAAGGGGCGAGAGCTGAGATTTTTGCATTAGCCCGGTTCAGAATCAAGGGACTATTTGGTTTTTAGTGATTTGGGGAATTATGTAATCAGGTAATTGATGATCCAGGGTGTGGGGGAAAAAGCAGGGAGGGAGGTCCGTGAAGTAGCTGAATCTCATTGAATCTAAGACACTGTAAGTTGCCAGATGCAGAGTTATTTTCTGAGACATCCTGAGAGGAAAAATAAAGCTGCCAACCACTCTTGCGACCCACTGGCTGAATAAGGCATCCTTACTTCCTTACTTCATGGTGGGGTGTCTTAAAAATGCTGAAATACGGAACCTGCCCCATGCACTCCTCAAAGCTTATTAACCCCTTAACTGTCTCCTTGGGTGGGGGGTGTGCGCGTGTGCATGGGAGACGCCTGGGCTGTCTTTGCTATGTGTAAATAGGGCCATTGGATTTTTATTTTTGATTAACTTGTTCCAATTTTTTTTTGTTTGTTTTCTAAGGAACTGTAATGAACAAATGTCAGGATACCTAATGCCAAATAAAGATGTTGTATTTATTTAGTCCATGTGTAGCTTTCTGATCTAGGGGACGTGCTCTCTACACGTGGGCTCTATTACTAACTCTAGGATTACCAGCCTCACTACTGTTGCCTCGCTTGCTCAGGATGCCTGCCTGCCAGCCCACCCCAGCTTTCTGTGTTTTTCTTTCCTCCCCATTTCCACCACAGGTTGCTCAGCAAGGTGAAGGGTTCGTAGCCGCTGGGATTGAAGACGCTGGCCTGGCCCCATTCTCCCTCTTGCCCTGGCCCAGCCAGGACCAAACTCTGATCAGTATTAGGGGTGGGAGGAGACAGACAAGGATCCCCCCCCGTCCCCACCTCCCCCATCCCCACCCCCACACGGGGCTGACATGACTAAACTCCCTGGTAAGGAGGGCCCACACAGGACCCACCTCAGCCTCCAGCCCCTGCTGCTCTAATGTCCCTATATTTCTTAGATGAGTTTTTGCAAATAAACTATTTTGCATCTTGCTGCCTTGGGTTGGAAAGCCTCAAAAATACAAAGGGAAAAAAGCACTCTGGCCTCGTGGGCATGATCCACTGAAGTTTTTATTAGAGACCCACTAGGGTTCAGTCCTGTTGCTTGGTTCGGGAGGCCTCGGCGTTGGCCCGTAGCACAGCCCCTGGAGATGGGTAGGGGCGCTGCTGGAAGAGGGGCCCAGCAGCTGTTGTGTCTGCGCCCGTCTTAGCCTCATTCCGCTTGGGAAGTCCTGTTGACCATGTGCCCCTGGGGGTTACAGAGGGTCAGAGAGTAGGATGTGGTAGCCCCCCACACAAACAAATAACTGATGAGTCAGTGAAAGAGACTAGTGAGGCATAAAGGAATGGTCACCAGTACAGGGAGTCCAGGAAAGAAAAGGGCTCATGGGCGGGGGGGTGTCACTTACCGCGGTGCATCTGAGTACGAGCTGGGGTCCATGGGGTCTAATTCTTCATCCTTCCGGCTTGCAGCTGTGGAAGATGGTGGCAGAGCAAGGTCTTCAATGGAGGCACATGAGACTCCTGATCACTGAGCTTCCCCGATCACAAGAAATGGAGCCCACAGGTGCCATGGCTGCAGCACCTTCTCCCACGCCCCAGATTCAGACACTTGCATGAAGGGAAGTGAGGACTTCTGTACACTGTGCCCCCCACTTGGTGCCTTGCTGCCTCACCCAGTCATGGCCCTGTTCAGCTTACCCTTTTTGCTCTTGGGGTAGGGAGCCAGCTCCTCCCGGCGATGGTGGCGCCGTTCTTTGCCCTCTTCTCTGTCCACCTTGTCATACCCACGGTCCCGGTCCCGATCCCTGTCTCGCTCTCTCTCCCTGTCCACCTTGTCATAACCGCGCTCTCGGTCTCTCTCTGACTTCTCATGGCCCCGGTCGGATTTCTCATGGCCCCGGTCAGATTTCTCATGGCTGCGGTCCGATTTCTCATGGTTCCGGTCCGGTTTCTCATGGCTCCGGTCCAACTTCTCCTCAGCATCTGGGGACATCAAAGCCTTGAAGTGACGTTCCTCTTCCTACCTCAGGACCCAATAGCCTTTGCCTCGGACAACCTCTCTTGCTTGGGGCTGGATACGCCTGTCTCATCTGCCGCTCCTGGATCCACGACCATTTACTGAGCCCTTTCCGAGAACTGCAAGAAGCACCTGAGGCACCCTTGGACCTGCCTTACTCACCTGTGTTACTGCTTCTGAGCTTCTTGGCAGATTTGGTAACGATGGAGTTGGAGTCATGTGGGGAGAGCCAGGACACGAGGTCTGTTTCCACATTCCAGTAGTAAGGGAGCCCGCTATGAGGCAGTGGGAGGGAGGGATTAGCAGCACAGATGCCCTCTCCTTGTAGCCTCAACTGCTCCCCAATCTCTGCCTGTACCCACCCCATATCAGGACTCCCCAGGGAGGACCCCATATCCCTTCTCTTGTGTCCCCCATTTCCCCAAGGCCAGGGAAAGCACAGGAAGGGCGAAGTTAGAAGTCAGCTCCCCCTCCCCACCCCAAGGTTCCCAGGCTTACCAAGAAGGGTCAAACACCTTGTACCAGCTTGGTGGCAGGCCCTCCAACCGGGTGGCCTCATAGTCCACGGGATCATCATCGTAGTCCTCAGCAATGATCTCTTCCTCCGGTTCTGCCAGGACGGGCAGAGAGCAGTAAGGATAGGAGATTCTCATCCTACACTTTGGGCTTGGAGAGTGCTCACATTCATGTGGACATGTGTGTGTGCCAGGTCTCAGTAGCCATGGCACATATTGCTCACATTTCAAGTCCTAGCATCTAAATAGTAAACTTATAAAAACATATACCTAAATCTGTCCTATTCTGGGTTCACATAAAATATACTGTTACCCAAACCTATCTGGTTTCAGAGTTTAGATAGGGATTTATCCATATTCACTCAGTTCCTGAATTCAGGGAGTATGTAATAGTACACTACAAAAATTTATTTCGATAAAATGAGTTGAAACAGCAAAAAGTCTATCTGAAAATATCCAAATCTATTCAGCTCCCAAGCTTGGCAAATAGGGGGTTTCTGACTCCTGTATTTTGAGTAGCAAGAATCTGGATAGCAAGGGATTTATCCAAACACTGCTCTGAATCCATTCAGTTCCTGAGGCCTGGTGCATACAGTTACCAGTTAATATCAATTAAAAAAGGTATATATTGTCAGCTCAGTACCAGGTTCTCAGTAGGCCTATAATTGATTTCAGCTGTGGATATAACTAACAATGAAATGTGTATGTCAGCAACAGCATGCCTGTCACATTGTAGGCCCAAAGGAGATGTCAGCTATAACCATCATTACTGTTATCAAGATATATACCATCAGAAAAAAAAAATTAGGTGCATAGGGCCTGGCACCTAATAGGTTTAACATAAATATCTATAACCATTACCAGTACTATTAACCACAAGACCTATGCCTGGCACACATTAAGCTTGTAATAAATGTCACTTATCAACAAGATGAAAACAAGATGCATTTTCCAGTACTTGGCACACTGTAGCCCAAAACAGATGCCTTTTGACAATAAGGTGTGAATATTAGCAGCAGCCAGCACAATAGGCCTCCATGATAGATCCTATCATTATTTTATACTGTTAACCATAATGTATGTCCAGGCACTTAGTATGACAAAAATACATATCAGCTCTTGATATGGTGAACGATAACATATATATCGCCAGCATCGTGCCTGGCACCACAATAGGTCTGAAAAATGTTATCTATCAGTATCGTAAAGAACGTAGTATCATCCCTAGCCAGTGTGGCTCAGCTGGCTGGGCATCGTCCTTCAAACCAAAAGGTTGCCTGTTGGAGCCTACCTAGGTTGCAGGCTCTGCGCTCTGCCCCTGTCAGGGCACTTTCAGAAGGCAGAAGGTAACCAATCGATGTTTCTCTCTCACATAGATGTTTCTCTCCCTCCCTTCCCCTTTCTCTAAAATAAAATACAAAATTTTAAAAGACAACAACATAGCATCAGCACCCTGCCACTGTCCTAGGCCGACAGGAGACTTGCAGTAGATGATAGTTAGCCTTACTATTAGATACTCTGTAATCACTTCTATGGATTGATGGATGGACTGAATCCAGCGTACAGTAGGCCCAAACAGGTATCAGCTGTCAATATTGAGGATGAAATGTCTTATCTCCCCTGGGTCCCCTCCCCCATCCCATTCTTGGCACCCAGTAAGAATGTGTGTCAGAAACCCATATGGTTAACTGTGGAATGCCCGCCACTCCACTGCTAGCTGCACAGTAGGCCCACACTCCCTACCAAGTGGCAGTATCAACAAAGTGCCTGTCAAGCCTGGCACGTGGTAGGCCCATCTGCTCTAGCTTTCTCACCAGGCTCCAGATGTTTGAGGATGCCTCTCTTGGCCAAGCGGGTCTGCAGTGCAACGGGCAGCGGCATAGCGAGTAGCAGACAGACCTAGGGACGGAAGGACAGACGGAAAACCAGCTCAGATGAAAATATGAATCTGAATCCTGTAACCAAGCGTCTCCCCCCAGCATGTGCTCATCTGGACCCTCACCTCCCGCACTTGCACCAGTAGCTGGGCAAACAAAAGCTGAGCTAAAAGGTAGTAAAAAAAATAGGTGGCAACATCACCAAAACTCTCACCAACCCTCCTCTCCAGGACAGGACCTCCAGAACCCAGTTCCTCTCCCAGGCCTAGGCTCCACCCACCGCTGAAGGGTTCGAACGGAGCTCCCCCACGCCCTAGAAATGGGCTCACCCAACGTCCTCCAAAGACGGCCAGGTGGGAGGAACCAAAGAGCTAGGATGGGGGTGCACAGTGTAGCACCCCCTCCAGTTCCAATAAATGCACTCCCCTCGACGTTACCAATAGAGTCACGCGGGTAGTGGAGAGCTGTCAGACTGGCCACCTCGCTGTCGCCGCCGCTAGAATCACCAGGAGCACAAGACACTTCCCCTCCAAGCCACAGAAAGAGTTCCCCTCTCCCCGAGACTTGAAATAACTGGGTGATGCTAAGGCTGCGAAAACAGATGACGTATCCAGGGTAGCCAATGAGACTGCACCATTGGCCTTACGTAAGACGCAACAACCTAACCGTGGCCATGGGATAGGTGGAAGCTCGAGAGTCTGTGCGTTTACAGTGGGGGCGTGGCCCAGCCGCGGCTTAGGCGGACTCCGGGGCTTAGGCAGACGCCGGCGCCATGGAGGAGTACGCTCGGGAGCCCTGGTACGGCGATGGGCACAGGCCTCGGGACTGTCCCTGCGGCACCACGGCCAGCTGTGGGAGGCGGGCGGGACAGGCAGTGGCCCCGCAACGCCACGGCCCAGACTCCGGAGACGCTTAGTTGTGTCTTTCCGCTCCCCTCCACTTGGTCCCTCCCACTCGGGCTCTGTTAAGAAGGGCCACAACCATGTGCCTGGAGGACAAGGTGCAGTGCAGGACGAACCACCCCACGTTTTCCCTGATTCCGCATCTCCCAGCCCGTCTTTGTTAAAGAAAAGAGACGCTGGTCGAATCCATTCCCGCTAAGGGGTGGCGAGGTGTTAAACGGAAATCCCCAGGGTTACAACGCTTGGTTTTTCCCAGGTTGCTTTAGCGAGTGGGGGCGGGGCCTGGGTGAGCCTATTGTGAGCAAGGAGGTGGTGCTGGTTCTTCCCCACGGCCTGCTCTTGGTTTTTCCCAGTAGTGCGAGGTTAAAAGGGAGGGAAGAGGGCGGGGCTTAAGTGGAAGTGCTCATTGTGGGAGAACCGGGTGAGACCCTGCCTGCTTTAATACCAGTACTAGCCAGTTAACACTGTAGTGATTATTTGAACGTGCCAGCTCTTTTTGCGTATCAATTCATGTAATCTTTGATAGAAGTAAAGAGGTTGGCTGATTCCTTGTTTAGCTGCAAAAGGGAGGGTTGGGGAGGGCAAAGAATATTTTTCCCTCTTTGTACTATTTCTTGCTTAAATGAGGAGGAAAATAATCTCATTATCTGGAATGCTACTTCCCATTCGGGTGACTTAGTTTCTCCCAGTTGCAAAGAGTCAAAGTGGCATGGCTTTGGGGGGGGCGGCTCACGTTAACCCCATCCTACCCTTTACACTTGCAGCCCATGGCGAATTGTGGATGATTGTGGTGGAGCCTTCACCATGGGTGTCATCGGTGGCGGAGTCTTCCAGGCCATCAAGGGCTTCCGCAATGCCCCTGTTGTGAGTCCTGGCCTTCCCTGGGTGGCGCGGGGGTCCTGTCCTAGCAACACGGGATAGTGCTCTTAAAACTGCTTGGAGCTACCAGTTACATGCACTTAATCATTCTGGTGCCTGCTTGCCTTCTGTGTGCCTGAAGGGAAACTGAAATCATAGCCTCTGTACCTCTGCACCCCAAACCCAAGTGGAGCTCCTCTGTGGAAATGCTGTGCTGTGAAAATGGTCATCACTGTCAATGTAAAGACTTCCAGACTTGTAGAAAAATTTTATAAGAATTCATTATAGTTTATTTGAGCCAAATAGAGGACTGCCTGGAAGCAAGATCTCAAAAGACTGAGAAAAATGCTTCCCAACATGACAGTTTGCAGTTTTATACATTTGGAATTAAAGAGTGAACATAAGGAAGATTATGTGAAGCAGTGTGTTAACCTACATGCACAAAAGCAATGAACAGGGCTTGCCTAAGGGAAGGAACCTTTTACTAGGGAAGTTACAGGCCCGAGTAGTGACTACCTACCATGACCTCCAGTTAGGAATTTATGATCAGATCACCCTGTGTGGTTACTTTCAGTGAGATTTTTTTTTCTCAGCTATAATTCTAAGAGCAGTTTTATATAATCTCCTCTAGGTTTAATGGAGACTTACTTTACCCTTCTGTATTATCCTTTTAGGGCACTGTGTCAATCCTAAAAGGGCACAGGAAAGGATGTCAGTTAGGTTTTATTTTATTTTATTTTTTTTTTGTCCAGATCACCAAATTCTATATGTATATACAGAGCCAGACAGATTTTACCTACAGCAGATTCTGGGTCAGAAACGTGCATAGAGGGGAAGTGACAGGAGTTTAACTGGCAGAGAGAAGACAGCCATAAAGTTAGGAAAATGTTTTAAATTTAGGATAATCTATTCTGTCTCTATTTCTGATGCCACCCGTCCTGGAGATCTCATCAAATGCCAAACTTTGAATACCATCCATTTGCCAAGGGGTCTGCAGTTTATGTCTCTCTCCCCATCCCTCCCCTCAACTCCCGTAACACTCTTTCCTGGACCTTTACCCAGGTTTCTCCCTTTCATCCTCAAGGTCTCAGTACATATACCCTCTCCTTAAAGAGGTCTTTTCTTAGCTCTCAGCTGCTGTCATACCTCTATTCTGTTTCCTGTAGGGTGCGTATTGCTGTCTAAAGCTGGCTTGCTTATCTGTACCCTTCCTCTGTATATCTCTGTCCCACTATAATATGAGCTATGAAAGCACAGGGGTCAGCTCTACCTCGCTCATTGCTCTGTGCCTGCATACAGCATGGTGCCTGGCACATAGGTGCTCAGTAATAATTGAGTGAATGGAAGGATAGATAAATGGATGAGAACGTCTCAACCCAGCTTTGAGAATAGCTTGTGTTGGGGTGCTTCTCAGCCCCTTAGATCTTGGCTGCTGCTTCACATCTTTACCCCTGAATGCCCCTAACAGGATTCCCACCCCCTTCCCTCTCTGAAAAGCTAAAAACCCTATCTACCAATGGCCTCAGTTCTGCTCTGACTCCTACTCCTCACTTTTCCCAGGGAATTCGGCACCGATTGAGAGGTAGTGTCAACGCAGTGAGGATCCGAGCCCCTCAGATTGGAGGTGAGAGGCATGGGGAGACAGGAGATGTGATGGCAAAGTTGGTGGTGGTTATTGCTTTGGGTCTAGTCTGCAAGTTGGAGGTCCACATTCGAGCCCCAACTCTGCATGGGACTTCCTGGGAGGGGTGATGTTTCCCAACAGTTTAATGTGGCTGAGTTCTGGAGTTTAAGTCCAGACCCTGGCTCTTCCCTGATGCGTGACCTTGGGGTAGTAGCTTAACCTCTCTGAACCTCATCTGTAACATGGGGATGACAATAGCAGTAACCAGCCCAGTCATTTTGTAATATATGTAATTTACATAGCATTTATTAAGTGCCAGTTGCTCTGCTATGCACTTTAATGATGTTAACTAATTTAAAATTTCAGAAGTCAAATAATGCAGTACCTAGATCAGGTCTCGGGACCCTCGGGACCCAGTAAGGCGTCAGTAAACATTTTAACTATCATATTGTTAACTGGCTTTCCTAATCTGTTTCCTTCTCACTGAAACCAAGATCAGAATTCCAACTCTATGTGGTGGTTTATGAAGGTAAAAGTTGCTCTGTTAAAAGCCAATAGAGCCCTGACCACTGTGGCTCGGTTGGTTGGGGGTTGTCCCACAAAGTGAAGAGTTGCAGGTTCAGTTTCTGGCAAGGCACATGCCTGGGTTTCAGGTTTGGTCCTGAATGGGGCATGTATGAGAGGCAACCAATCCATGTTTCTTTCTCGCATTGATGTTTCTCTCCCTGTGTTTCTCCCTCCCTTCTTCTCTCCCTAAAAATTAAAAAAAAATTACAGAAAAGCCATATAGAAGGTAAATGTGCTTGTAAACTCTTCACCTCCCTATGAAGAAGGTAGTTGATGATTGCAATTAGAGGCAGCTTGAAGAGGTAGCTACCTCAGGGACAGATGGGAATATCCCCCAGAAGTTTGCTTTCTGTCTTCGCATCTGAGTTTTTCTCCCCTTTCTTTGCTAGAGCATTCAGGCCTTGGAAGTCCACAGTCCTTGAGCTGTGGATTCTTAGGATTCCCCAGAAACACTAATTAGGCCTCTGTCCCCCTGCAGGTAGCTTCGCAGTGTGGGGGGGCCTGTTCTCCACCATCGACTGTGGCCTGGTGCGGCTGCGGGGTAAGGAGGATCCCTGGAACTCCATCACCAGCGGAGCATTGACCGGGGCTGTGCTGGCTGCCCGCAGTGAGTGTCCCCAGCCCTGGCCCTAGCCCCTTCCGCCGGGTTCTGCCAGCCCTCACCTCTCTCTCCCTGCCTCCTTGCTCCTCCAGGTGGCCCACTAGCCATGGTGGGCTCAGCAATGATGGGGGGCATCCTCTTGGCCCTCATCGAGGGTGTTGGTATACTCCTCACTCGCTACACCGCCCAGCAGTTCCGCAACGGTGAGTATCTGGTGAAGCTGGCCAGGAAGAGGTGGAAAATGCTCTGCCTAGTCTCCTCTGCTCACCTTTACTTGATTCTCCCCTCTCCAGCACCCCCGTTCCTGGAGGACCCCAGCCAGCTGCCCCCTAAGGAGGGTACCCCGGCCTCAGGCTATCCCAGCTATCAGCAGTACCACTGAGGAAGTGACCACCTGTTACCACCATCGTGGGAGCTCCTCCTCGGTTCCCTCCCCGATGATCTACCTCGAAGGGAGGACTGGCTCCCAGTTGGCCCTGGGACCCTCCAAAGAGGGCCTCTACTCTCTTTGTTCCCTTGTCCCAGGGTGGGGGTGGGGCATCCCAGCTGCCCTGATGGATGGGTCCCCTTCCTTCAGGGCACCCCAGCCCCACACTCACATGTAACAAGCTCTCACCCCAGCCCCTTCCTGTGGCGCCCTGATGAGTATTTAAAGCCAGTTTTGAAATGCCTACGTATGTACTCATTAAGCTACCTGTGGGATACCCCCCACCTTGAGATAAAAGACAGAGAGCCCTCTTCAGGGACTCAGAAGCCCTGAATTTGGAGACCCACAGAGAGTGGGCCTTAGTGAATATAGGATGAATGACCAGGAGGAGGAATGAATCAAGATGTGAATAGATTCATGAATAAGCGTGTGGGGGCCAAGTAATGAATCATCAGTATATAGAAGAATAGGCTTGGGAAAGAAGTGAGGGAACACAGGGATTGCTGGCGTTGAGGGAGCGGCTCTGCACACGGCACCCCTGACCCCTCCATCCCAGGCCCCCATTGCCTCACAATGAACTCTGCGGTTCTGGGTACCATTGGCGTGAAGATAGTCTCCCTCCATATGGCCTCACCAGGGACCTGGGAAGAAGTAAGGGTCAGGGAGACCCAGCTTCCTTGAAGAAGGGTCCTGTGTCAGTCTCCTCTTTTGCACCACAGAGATACTTCTGCTCTGCCATGCTCTGTGCTGTCAGGACTTTTTAGGGAGAACCACAAAATAAATGAGTTTTCATTTTGGGGCAGGTAGGTTATGGGAAAATTTTTTCTGGATGGACATCGCCTCCAAACGCTGCCTCTTCCATGTAAACCCCTGCATGGGTGAGGCAAACATTGCATCCACTGAGGTGCAAGTGCTCCAGTGCAAGTAGTCTCATAGGAGGCATAAAAGCTGTCCCTTTTGTGCAATCCATCACAAACAGGTAGAAAGTCCCTCATACAAAATCACGCCCTGGAGGTGCAAATGCTAAGTCCCAGGGCCTCCAAAGGCTTCAACAGGGACCAAGTGGTTCTCAGTGGTAGCAGGATCGCAGCACTGCGTGCTTGACTGACTCAATGCCAGGCAGAGCCCAGCCATCCCAGTGAAGACCCTGGCTGGGGAGGGCAGCAGGCACCGTGCACAGGGCTCTCAGGGCCTCAGCAAGGCCCCATCCTCAAACTTGTGGCTCCACACGCAGGTCTGTGTAGGACCAAGGTCCCGGTCAGACCCAGGGTGTCTCAGGCTGTGACTCGCGTTTCTGGCCCACTGCTTTTGTCCTGCCCCTTCTGTATACGTAGGTCCTGCCCTTCCTCAGCTCCAGGGCACATTCCGTAGACCCCACCCTGATCATCTCTAACACTGTCCCATTAGCTTTTCTGAGACTCCCTTCCAGTAGTCCTCAAGCTCCACCCTCTTAAGTTGCTGTGTTCCAACACACCCTTTTGTCTTCAGGCTCCACCCCCTCCCTATCTTTCTTGCTGGCCCTCTAAGGTTCCTGCAGACCCTACTCCTTCATAAACCAACCCAGGCTCCTCTGAAGCCCAGCCCCTACTGTATCTCTTTGGTGTGTTCCAAATGGGCCCCGCCCCCACAGCTCCCTAATCTGCAGCTTCCCAGCCTCAGCCTCTAGACCTCTTTGGAACTTCAGACCCCACCCTCTCCCACCCCTTCAGGCAATCCCAAACCCTAGGTGCTGGGGTCACCGGCTCCCGAGTCACGGTGGGGGGTGTCAGGATCCTCAGGCCCCGCCACCTGACCCAACGGCCTGCCTCACTTCCCAAACAAAAGGATGTGGGCTCAGACCCCTGGTGGTTTGCACCCGCAGGGACTGCAGAGAATGGGAGAAGGCAGGAGTGCAGCAGAAGTAGGTGAAAAAAGGAATAGGAACTGGACAGACATACACATAGGGAAATAAGAGACACTAATGGAGACGCACAAAGAGATGCAGGCAGAAACATACAAGAGATAAAAGACAAGAGAAAGGACAGAGACTGTAAGAGAAACAGGAAGACTGGAGGTCAAAAATGCAGGTACGGCCCTGGCTGGGTAGAACATTCGGTTAGGGTGTTGCCCTGGTAAGCCAAGGTTGCAGGTTCCATCCCTGGTCAGGGCACATACAAGGATCAGCCAATGAATGCATAAGGGGAACAACGAATGTTTCTCTCTGCCCTGCCCCCACTCCCCTTTCTAAAAGTCAGTCAATCAATAAAAAGAAATGCAGTTGTGGACAGGCAAGAACTTCAGGTTGAGATGGAGGCAAACACAGGAGTGAAGGCGAGGTGGCATTGTAGAGCTGTGAGCTGGATTGAGGGGCTCGGCTGCCAGAAGCCTTCCAGGCCAGGTCTCAGGCCATCTGCCCACTTAACTTAGAGCTGAGGGCCCTCAGAGAGGCAGAGAGATGCCAGCCTACACTCTTGAATCCTCTCTCCATCTCATCTCTAATCCCATCTGCTTTCAATAAGAATTTCAGCTCCTTCCATTCAGGTTCTTCTTCCTGCCTTCTTCCTCCCAGCATTATCCCTTTCTGTCTTGATCTCAGTCTTTCTCCCTTATTTTTTTTTCTTTGATCTTCCAGACTGGTGGCTGTCTTTCCCTGTGGTCCATGTATTTGCCATAAACCTGTCCACACGATGGTGGGGGGTATATTTGGTGGGTCGCAGAGATGGACAGAATCAGGGAAGAACAGGGAGTCCAACCTGAACAGTGAGGTGGGGGAATCACCCTATCCACTTCCTGAGGCAGAGTCCCTGGGAGGATGGGAAGAGAGACAGAGAATGGGGAAATCAAAGACAGAGAAAGATACCAAGAGAAAAGTCAGAGTTTACAGCGACGTTAAAAGGAGAGACAGATTCAGAGAAAAAGAAACACCAAAAAAGAAAAAGTACAAGTGAACAAGTGAAAAGAGAGAATGGAAGTGAGGAGATGGAGACTGAAATTAGGAGACTCAGACATAAAAAAATGGAGGGGCAGAGAGTGTCAGAACAAGACAGAAGTGAAAGAGAAGAGTTGAACAAAGAGAAGGAGAGAAAAAGTAAGAGAAGAGAGATGGGTGCACACACCTTACCCTGAGTTTGGGGGTTGCTAGTCTGAGTGTTCTTATGTCCTCTGTTCTCTCCGTGGTAGTTGGAGAACAGGGCCTAACTGAGCAGGACAGCTGTGATGTCCCCACCTCAACCACCTAGGTAATCGAGGTGCATAGGAAGGCCGCCTCCCCTGGGGATATACCTATAGATATCTGTGCCCTGATGTTGGGACTGGGAGCCATCTCAAGAAGCCTATTGAGGACCAACCTCTGGAGCTGACCAATGGGGGCTGTCTCTGGGGAATCTACAGCATCATCAGACTACCTACAATCATGTGGAAGAGGAAGGATGTGCAACGATCACTTCTTATTGAATTTATTGGGAGTGACATTGGTTAATAAAATTATGTACGTTTCAGGAGTACAATTCTATAATACATCATACATCATCTGTATATTGTGTGTTCACCATCCCAAGTGCATTTATCACTTCTGAGCCGACAGTGAAACCATGCCCTCAGTTATGCTACCTGAAAGTGACAAAGCTGGGTTCTATATCCTTATTTATAATGCTTAGAGTTTCACAGATGTCATTTGCAACATAATTTCCAGAACGACACATTGCCAGTCATGATTACCTGTGTCATTGGAAGGGTTTTGCAGGCCATGGCCACAATTTCTGAGCCCCCTTGGTTAAAATAATTTCAAGGACAGACTTAATGGAGATCAAATCAGCAACAGTTCTGGGCATTCACATAGGGCTCTGTGTTTATACAGGAACTCAAGACAAAGTTTCTCACTTGAAGACCTCACCAAAGAGATGGTATGAACTATATGATGCAGATTTTTAGCTCTCCCTCCACAGCACACAGAGGAAGGCTTTTCCTCAGATTCCCCTAGTTACTTATGAAATCAACTATAGGACTGGGCTCTGAAATTTTATTTAGTGAGCATTAGAAAGAGAAAACAGGCCTATGGCTCTAAATTTTTATTGCAAAATATGAAGGATAGGGCCGAAGAGGATTTTTTTTTTTTAATTTCAGTGGAATAATGAACATACGGTGTTTTTCTCCTACAAAAGAAAATCTCAGTTCCTTTAGGATCTGCTCCACTGAACCCTATTTCCTTAATAGTTTTGGCTCAGCCCTGGCTGGTGTGGCTCAGTGAATTGAGTGCCGACCTGTAAACTGAAAGGTCACCAGTTCCATTCCCGGTCAGGGCACATTCCTGGGTTGCGGGCTGGGTCCCTGGTTGGGGGCCATGTGAGAGGCAACCAATTGATGTATCTCTCATACACTGATGTTTCTCTGCCTCTCTTTCATCTCTCTCTAATAGTAAATAAATCTTTTAAAGAATAATTTCAGTTCAAACAGGCTTTCTTCGTACCCCTCTTATTCCCCAGGCTGGAGTCTAACTTCTGGGGACTTAGAGAGGACGAGGGAGAATGGGCTGTCCTTGAAGATCATTTCTTCACACAGGAATCTTCTGAGATGTGCCAGGTCCTGTGTGGTCCTCGGGTGTTGATCCATGCCCTGTGTTCCTGCTTTATTGCTCAGACTGGCTACAGGGTGATTCTCTCTCTTGGCTAATTCTGTGTCTCCTAGGGCAATAGGAAATACTGCTCACTCTCCCTAACCATAATGGCAGCTTGATGGTTATACGAGCCCTATCTGCCAGATCATCATACAAACATGTCTACCCCAAAAGACATAATCAGTTTCAAAACAAAATTGATAATGAACTACCACAATATATAAAGAGCTCCTACAAAACAATAATAAAGACAAGCAATAGAAAAGCAAGCAAAGGATGAAGTAAATTTTTTTACAAAAGAGAAAACCCAAATGGCCAATAACATATGAAAATATACTTATGCTAAGTCAGGGGGCTGTGTATTAAGACAACAAAATACTATATCATATCAATCAGATGGGCAAAAAATTTTAAATCTGTTAGCACCAAGTGTTGCTAAGGAATTCTAGAAACAAGGTGTCTTGTTCACAGCTTATGGAAGTGTAATGGGGACAGTAATCATTTTGGAAAACTTTGGCAGTATCTACTAGAGCTGCATATAAATTCACTTATCACCCAGTGGTACCATCTCCAGGTATATACCTAACAGAAATGTGTACAAATATTAACCAAAGACATGCACAAGACTGTTTATAGCAGCTTTATTCATAATAGCCCCAAACTGGAAACTACCAACATGCATATTAACCAAAGAATGGATAAATAAATTGTGGCGTATTCACAATACTGTAGAGCAGTGTGTTGGAGACAAGTCTCTATGTATATCTTATGTTCCCGTGTGGCCTGGGCCTTCTGAGCAAAAGGGCATATTTCAAAAGCAGTTTTGAAAATTAGAGATAGTGTATCCCTCTGGAGAGAATTAGAGACAATTTAGGATGATAAACCTAGAAATACCTCTCCTACCCCCAACCAGAAGATTGTTTATATTCCAGGGTAACAAGTAATCTCCATCTATGGAGAGGAGGACAGCCCAATGGGTCAGCAACTTCATAAAAAGCTCAGTCTTCTAAGCTCAAGTTCCTCTCCTGCAGTGCAACCTACTGCATAGGAGGGAAACATCTGGCCTCATGCAAACTGGACCATGAGAGACCAATACAAAGTATTGTTCTGGCTACTGCTTTTTGCTGTAAATAATAAACGATCTATTTTTATGGGACACGTGTGTGTGTGTAAAACTGCAGCAGGCTAACTTCTTAGCTTGCACATGGGATAAAACCTCAGGTTCTGACTCACCATGAATATAAACAATTGCCCTGACTGGTGTGTCTCAGTGGGTTGGGCATCATCCCACAAACTGAAGGGCCACAAGTGTGGTTCCCGGTTGGGGCACGTGCCTGGGTTGCGGGCCAGGTCCCCGGTTGAGTGCGTGTGAGAGGCAACAGATCAATGTTTCTCTCCCTTTCTTTCTACTTCCCTTCTCCTCTCTCTACAAATAAATAAATAAAATCTTTTAAAAAATTTAAAAAGAAAAACAACAAGTATAATTCTATATGTGTAACATGGACAAATCTCCCAATGTTGAGCAAAAGAAGCTGCTAGACATAAAAGAATGCCCACCATATGATTGTCTTTATACAAAGTTTAAGGATCAGGCTAAATTCAACCATGCTATTATAAGCCAGGCTCATGGGTACCGTGTGGAGGTCAGTGACTGGAAGTGGGCAAGAGGTAGGCACATGAGGTGAGGTACTGGTCATGTTCTGTTTCTTTATCTGGTTGCCAGTTACATGTATATTCAGTTTGTGGAATTTTATCAGACTGTACCCTTCTGACATGCACTTTTCTGTGTGTATAACATATCTCACTAAAGAGTTAAAAAAATATGTACTAGAGCCAAGTGTATCAACATGGATAATTCTCAAACCTACAATGTTAAGACAGAAGAAAGTTGAAGACTGCTATATATAATATAATATTTGTTTTAAACAGGTTTTTTAAAAACATGCAAATAACCTATGCTGTTTATGGATCCCTAATTACATAATAAAATAATAAAAAGATGCAAGGGAATGATAGATAATAAATTCAAATGCAGTTACCTCAGAGGAAGGTGGGAGAGATACAGAATTGGATAGGGAAACCTGTTGGGTAAATTTCAGCTAGAGCTGAAATACTTTGTTTCTTAAAGAAAAAGGCTTGAGGCAAATTACAAAATGTTGAGATCTGTTGGGAGAAGAGCTCCCAGGTGTTCATTATATTACTCTCTTCCACAGACTATTGTGCGTTTGAAATATTTCATAATTTAGAAGATTAAAATGAATCCTGCTGGTGTTAAGTTGATTTCATAGGTTAAATTGGGGACACATTTATCCAATGTTGATTCTTCATGTCCAGAACATTATATGTCCCCCCATTTATCCAGGTCACTTTTTATTTTATTGTACTTTTTTTGCCCAATGTATTCACAGGAAATTGATGGATTTTGTTATCATGATGAACAATATCTTTCTATTATGTTTTCTAAATTTACATCTAAAAGGAAAGCTATTCAATTTCTTTTTTGACCTTATTTCTGGTCACCTTGCTCACTTGCTTCTTTTATTATTAGATTTAATCATTTTTTCTTTTTAAAAAGATTTTATTTATAGTTTTTCATATAATTTTCTAAGCAGATAACATCAGTGGGCTTCAGCCTAAGGTCAGCTGGTGAATGAAGTAGGGTTTATCAACTTATCACAACAAGGAAGAAAGCACATCATGGAGCACTCTGGGGCATCTCAGTAAGAGGGAGTTCAGAAAAGACGCGATAGGACGTGGGTTTGTGTTAGATGATCTCAGGGAGGGTTAAAGAAGCAGAACTTTGCTCTGGATTTGGCTGCCATCAGGAAGTAGGGATAATTCTGCCCTGGCTGACGTGGCTCAGTCGGTTGAGCATCATTTGGCAAAGCAAAAGGTCGCCGGTTAGATTTCCCATCAGGGCACATGCCTGGTTTGTGGCCTGGTCCCTGGTTGGGGTGCATATGGGAGGCAGCCCATTGATGTTTCTCTCACACGTCAACGCTTCTCTCCCTCTCTTTCTCCCTCCCTTCCCCTCTCTCTAAAAATAAATAAATAAAATCTTTTAAAAAATTAGGAGTAATTCTATGATGGAGTTTCTCAGTAATCCATATCTAGAAGCAAAAAGAATGAAGCAATAACTAGTAATGAAACAGCAGTCACTCATATTAGACAGAGTGATGTTTGGTCATTTTGTGTCTTGGACAATGTACATGTTCTTGTCTGTGCCCAGAGCTGATTACAGAACGGTCTGTTTTTTGTCTTGATCCATTACGGTCACAGAATGACCTTGACTGATGTTGGTATTTTGTGGACTTGTTCATGTTCAACAGAACACGAG